CTCTGTCTCTGAACCACTTGCCTTCTCTGGGAATCCAGTCAGTTACCCTCAATGACCAACGGTAATCCTGTCTACGCGCCGCATGCCCGGACCGTGTCCAAGTCTTCTTCTTGCTTTCAACTATTAATTCTAACTCCGGTTTGCTCCCTGATCCACTCTGCGGTTACACCTATCATTTTACTTTCAATTGCCCGCAGCGTCGTCCTCAATTTAAGCGCTGAACCCTCTTTGTAAGTCTCCAGGTTTCTGGTCCATAGCTAAGTACCGGCAAAATGCTGCTGTTTTATACCTCGCTCTTGAGGGATAGTGGCAATCTACTTGTCATGCCACATATCTGACGCTAACTCAAAGCGTGCTAACCTTCTGTGGTGGGACTGCCAACGCAAAAGTAGATTTTTTTTCCTTGGCGGGGGGGGGGGGGGGGTCCTTTCGGAGGGGGAGGGCAGATCCATGCATGCTCTTGCGGCAGCATGAAAGGCGGCGGCTCGTGGAACGCAGGCCCACCTGCCCACTCTGCGCAGTCGCTTTCGCCTGGAGTCGGCGGGACCACGAGTGAGTGAGTGAAAACATTTATTTAAAAAAAAAGAGGAGAGGTGCAGCCCTTTAGAGGCTTCATAGTGGGTGGAGTCCTTATTCCGGGACCCCATTGGTGACACTTGCTAACCTAGCCCTCTGGACCAGGGCCCTTTAGACTTGAAGATACGAGCAACCTAGCAGGGTCGCCTCCCACTCCTTTCTGGTTGGGGGGAAGAGCTGAGCTGTACCAGGGCGCTTTGGGCTTGCAGATCCGAGCAACCTAGCAGGGTCGCCTCCCACTCCTCTCTGGTTGGGTTAGGGTTTTTAGCTGGCAAGCCCAAACGATGTGGCAGGTGTTAGCCACCTGCCAACAGTATTGGCACTTATCAGTGAAGGAGGAATCAAAATGTTGCATGAATGCCGGGCACACTAAAGTATTGGTGAAAAGTCTCAGCAAGATGTGTTCATTAGCCTTCCCCAGCCCCTTTGCAGGAGGTGGGTATTGACGATGCTGATCCCTGTAATAGGTTGTAATATCTTTGAATGTCAGCAGATATACGCCTTCGGGTTGCAGGTACTCCGGATCTAAGCGGGATGCCCGGTGAACGAGGACCAAGAGCGCGCCGCCGTCGCCGCTTCGTCGGCCGCGAGGCACCTGCGGAAGATGCGTGCTCGTGACAAAACGACAAAATCCGCGGCAAAATTCCTAGACTGTCCATGGTGAAAATTCGTTACATTAAGGTTGTCTTCCGCTGCTTTTTTTTTTTAACTGAGAGGTCACAAATACATGCGCTCCTGTGTAGTAACGGCGGTGAATAGAAAAACTTCGTTATATCGAGAAATCAGTTATATGAAGATTCCTTATAAGCAGGTTTCACTGTACACACTGCTACACACTCGGAACTCAGATTTGCTCTTCAGCCGGTCGAACCTGACGTTCCTGTACGGCCTGATGGTTTACTGGATCGACTACGACGACTGGGACTACGAATGACCAGCGCTCAGCCCGTACAGCGGGCTGCGGTTGCTGTACAAGATGACCGACTACCTGCGCGGTTACTTATGCACGCCGCAAGACCTGCCGGGATGCATGAAAGTCGAACCAGACTTTGTGCCGCTCGAAGACCTTCGCAAGATCGACACCTGGCCGGAAGGGGGCGTTTGAGTCACCGCTCAAATCTTGATATTTAAGCGGGTAGACTTAACCAGAAGGAGGTTATCTGATTCGTGGCTAAAGTCAAGACACGGGTGAAAATTAAACTCTTCACTGCAAAGTACGAATCCTCAAACTCACTTTTTAAGGGAAAAAAAATATATATAGTTTTTGGTTCATTAGGTAGTACGGCTTGGTGGCGCTAGCTACCGCCCGATCTAAAGGGTACAGCCATATCCATCCATCCATCCAAAAGCGGCGAGATATGTGTAGCGGATATGGGTAGCAGCCGCGCGCCAATAAAGTGCAATGCTCCATGCGAATACGTCTAGCATGGCACGGTCTTTGCCGAGATGGACTGCCTGAAATAAAACACACACAGCCCTCACTGTATCGGGGAAACGGAAGGAATCGAAGCTTGACATGTGCTTTCCAGTCATAGTCGTGAGCACAATCAGGGGGAACACGGAAATTGACTTTTGAAAGCCAAAGCGGCGATCGCACTCCAATCGCCACCTCGGTGTAGAACACGTGAGCAACCGGTCACGCATCGGCTTTTGGTCGGCGGGCCGTAACCTCATGGAAGCAGTATCGGGCTCTGACGTGGCCAGCCTGACAACCAGGCCACGCATGCTCCAGGTACACCACTTCGTAGCCCGAAACTGCCTCAAGGTTTCGCCCCACAGAGCTAAAACCGGCTGCTCGTGTGTGGGAAGATGGCTATTGCAATTTAAACAATCAGTATCCCCTCTCGTATTGCTCATGCCTGTACAATTTCCTCTCTATCGCAACGCGAAACACTCCCCGTTATCTTGTAATCCCATGGTGCGTAAGTGCCCCTGTTTATAAGAGAGACTGCATGATTTATGACATATCCCGTTGGTATTAGATATCGTAGAAGTTTCACGTAGTTATGGGGAAGCTCGTCACTGAATTTAAAGGAAGAATTGAAAACTGTTACTGCTACGACCGACTGGAAAGTACACGTGACGTGAAAGCGACAGAATCTGAATCAAAGCGCATCGAAGACGAATCTGCGTGGTCGGCGAAATCGGCGAGCAGTCCGAAATACACGAGTAGACATGCAGTTTACTGTTTTCTCGGAATGTGTAGTGGTTGCTTGCTACGCGAAAAATTTCTCCTGTTAAGCGCCGCAGTGACTGGCCCCCCACCTTTTTGCGTGTCTGACGAACAAAAGGTTGATATGGAGGTTTTCCTGCGCACAGCTCAAAAGAAACAGACAAACACCAAGCACTACACGCAAAACAAAGGCGATGCGTTGGCACTAGCGAGATATTAGAGAGTTTTAGTACTGCGGAATGGTGCTACGTACGCATCACGTAAGCGCCTTGCGTTACGTGGCGTCATTTGCCACTAAACGGGTTTTAGAACGCCGTCGTACCCACGTACGTAACGAGCGTGAAGCGTGTTGCGCCATCTGGTAGATCAAAATAGAAGCACGTGTTGTTGGCAGCCAATGTGAGCCAATCCAAGTGTTATAGCCAGATTATGGCCATATTTTAAGCCACAGAGCCGGTCGGTGCTTTCCTCCGATGCCGCCATTTTGCAAAACGAAGTCTCGCACTGTCGCGAACTTGTTCGAGAGCGGCGCGATCAGCTCGTACGTACGCACGCACGCATCTCATGCGTGCGTACGTAGCGGCTGCGTACGTAACGCGATACGTGCGCGTTGCGGTCTGCGCATGCGCACTACGCAAAACGTGGCGTCCTTACGTACGCAACGCCGCCACGTACGCAGCGTACGCAGTACTAAAACTCTCTATTGCGTGCAGCTCGTCAGGAGAAAATAAAAGGGCGGCACGCCTTTATTAAAATACCGCCACTTCTTTCCACGGGTACGTCCGGCCTGATGTAGCAGAACTAGTGACCTGGCAGAACGGCCGCACGTTCCAGGCAAGATAAATCTTGATTACGGCCTTGAAATTCGATTGCGAACATTTTAAACTACGCATGACCTTGGTTATATCTAAAAAAAAATGGTACGTCATGAATCGGAAAGCACAATCTCGTAATACAAACAACTGCCCTCAATTTAAAATATAATTTAAAGTTTTTTTTTTTTTTGGTAGTAGTCACGACAGTAGTTTTAGCTGCACCCAAGTATTTCCCTCTCGATGCAAAGTTCGTGGACGGGAATGACAGAGGCCTTACTGACATACGATCTTCACAAAAAAATCTGTGGTCTACAAGAAAAAAAAAACTGTACACGTGATCGAGACGACATCCCGATTAAGACTGGTCAAAAAGAAAAGACTGGTCAAATAGAAAACCATTACCGCTGCGGCTTCATCTGTGAATAGACTGTTCCACTGTGAATAGAAAAAAAAAAAAAAAACAGACGGCAATAAAGTTTCGCAAAAGTGGAATTCCACTACCATTTCCCTTTAGGCTACGGTTAATACATGGCATTCTACAGGACATGCGCCTCATACTGATCTAAAAGGGCACCGCCAAAAACGAACACGAAGGATGAAATGATGACAGGACATGCACTGTACTCGCAACAGCGCTCTTTTCATCAGCGCGAACCCAAACCAACTCGCTAACCTATCTCGCCTGAAAAACTAGTGCCTGCTGGATCACCAAAGAAGCTGTCTATACAGGCAGTACATAAATCGGCAACATACCAATCAATCTCCTCTGTCCTGCATCACTGTCGATTATTAACAATCTCTGATTGCTCTAGAAAAAAAACTTTTTTTCTGCCCATAACAAATGCAGCAAGAAAAAGTAACATTTTGCCATTGGTTTCCGCTTTTTTTTTTTATTCATGCCGGCTTCTTTTGCCAGCAGCGAATACCAGAAACGTTGAAAAGCTAGTCCAGGCGACCCATTTGCCATTTGCTTTAACGACGTGCACTAGCAGGCCGATTACGCAGTGTATGGTTAGCTTTACTTCTCACTTCAATACACAGAACACTGCAAACTAACCAGAACTACAGACGACGAATATGCACCTTTTAATAGTCTGAGCAGCGAGTGGAGATCGTCGAAATTGAAAGTGATGGCTCGCGGCCTCTGAATTTGTAGACAATCTCGAAGCCCTGCACCTTCTTCAGAGGGAAGATCTGCAAGCTTGTGACGCCAGGTGACACTCGGTTTGCTAAAAAAAAAAACAACTGCGTGCGTTTAGCAACCCCATCAAGCATGCGCAGAGTACCCAATGACTCAACCGGAAAAGGTCCATCCTTGATGTGGGCATCTACACTGACCGGCGTGAGCGTTATCTACAGCCACGCTGAAGACTTTGCGAACACACTTGCACGCTTTGGGAAATGAGCACAGAGACGTACGTTTCACCGCAGAAAACTTCGTGGCAAATCTTTTTTTTAATACACAGTCCCGGTCAGGGCTCAAAGTGCCCAACAAAAAACGAAGTTCGTGGCAAAACTGTCCTTGCACTTATCCTAGGTGACCACGTCGAAAGAGGGCACAGCATCATCACGGCGACATCATTCAACACTGCATAGGGTTTCCACCACCTCCTCTTCAAACTCCGGCTACATACTGAACGGGGCACTGCACGGAATGGGTGGCAACTTGGATTCCTGTTGGAAACATTTCAATATCCATACTGAACGCTTACTGAAGAGCCACTGCTTTCACCAGCTCTGTTCATGATACACAAGTTTCACCAACTGCATTGACAAATTTTGCACCCACCAATGAGAACAACGCAACAGTGCTCACTACAGAACTCCAAGCCCAGCAGAGACACACCTTTGCAGACGTACAGTTTAAATCTTGATACAGTCGAACTCACACATGAATAATTGTGTATATCGAGCACTTGCAGAACCCTAGAAATATGCGGTATCTAAGGTATTTGATCCATCAAAGTACCTATATACAGAAGTTTCTGGTTATCCACTTAAGATGTGATATATCACATTGCGAATGTGTAACAGAGACGAGATACAACAAATCAACGGGTATAACGTAGTAAACCAAATTTTTGATGGCATCAGCACGTTATGAATTCGTGGTTACACAAGAACTGGTGAATATCGTGAATGTGTTTCATGCTGTACGCAACACTGTCACAGCTTTGTTTCACTGTAGCCTCAGAAGACCATGGGGGCAAGAAAGACATTCAGTACCAACACATCACGATGCTATTTTCTGTCTCAACACACTAAAGTCTGCACGCAATGATCATGAAGATTTGCCAGAAAGATTGGCCAGAGCTCTTCTTGAGGCCGTGAGAGGCAACACGTTAACCGGTTTCTTAATTATACATCCAGGAATGCCAGACGAGTAGATCAGTGACACCAGAGCTAGTTGAATACAACAGTTTGCAACTGAAGCTGGCTGATTGATTCCATGTGGTGCTTTGTGTCCGGATTCTCGCTTTTCAGTGATAGCCTCTGGTGGTCAGAAATTGCAAGTAGAGAGATTCACGCACCAACTACGACAAGACAACACTGTGGTATGCCACGAGTAATTAGTGCGGTTGCTCCAGCAAACGTGCTTCCGTTGTATTCCAACAGCACAGCTGGTGCATGTCAGCTTCGCCTAGTTATGTGCAAAGTCCATATTTCACATACTTGATTTCATTTTGCAAAGGAATATGCGGTAAGTGAACACCAATCTCACATAATTACAAGGCATGTCTGTGACTCCTGAAAATTACAGCATTTTCTATGAGCTAGCAATTCGAGACATTGTCATACTGCACTTTTCTTTTTACACATTATGTATCCAAGTGGAATGGTGGACAATAAGACAAGGTACAAAAGTAGATCAGAGTTTCAGTTAGAAATGAACAAAGTACAGATTCGGCACATGACGAGGTTGTGCAAACCACGATACAAGAACATGAGTGGCCCACATGCAAACTTGCATCTTGCACCTTAAATTATCCTTGAGTAACAAGTTTCACGGTGGCATGAAAGCTAGCCACGATTTCACAAGGCCTGAACGATTATAAATCAGTAGTTGCCAATTCTGGACTTGATCCCACCAACACCATATTGTTTTACAGGAAGGGCTGAGCATGCTTCTTCGCTGTACCACCAGGGATGTTACAATGCTGCGGATTACCATTTCCTTTAGCCTAATAGAATGAGCGACACACTTCAGTTAATACTTTATGGAAAACGCTTTTACAACGAACAAATTTACTCAGAGACTGCATTAGTTTGTGCCATTAGTGCACTAACTTAGAAATAAACAGAGAAACAGACTGATAAGCAATATGCCAACAGTAGCACGAATCGCTCAGGTAATTGTTTTATTTTTCTCACATAATCTTACTTGGGATCGTAATGGCCTGTCCCAAAGCTGTGAAACGGTGCCTCAATCTACCAAATGCGATTTGTCATTCCACCAAAATCACGCAAATGGAGAAAATTATCACATTCGGACAAAGAGCCCTTCTATTTCGACTAGCTGGAACGCAATACCCATAAATTTTTTTTCTGTTACCTTTTCCTTATTTTTTTTTTCCTGTGCTCACAAAAATTATGCCAAAGGGTTGAGAGTTGCAATGGTGTTAGAAGTTTGTACAGCCACCTCACTTATTGCACCCTTCAGTGAGAGAAGTGGAAGCTATTAACAAGGAATCAACAAGTTAGGGAGCGTTCTTAACAACCCATATATCCCTTTCCGACACCACGACCAGGTTGCTGGACATGACAAAAAAAAAGGATGCAGAAAAGCAAGGAGAACAACCGAAACCACTTTGCCAGCTTCTGTACGAGTCGAGCAATATGTTTTTAAATGTAGTTTCTCCTGAAGCCCCATTTTATTATGGGCGTGACTCACAGTAACAGCGTCATCTGCACAGAAATGTGCGCGCACAATCTGGTCAAGTATCTAAAATTATTTTAGGAGCTATCTTTGCACAATTCGAATGGTTTAAATCACGCGAGCTGTCTTGCGTCTTCTTTAAACATCGTTGCAAAAAGGAAGCTTCCGTAATCGGAAGTGTTCTGGCAATGCAAGAATGTATTTATGTCCGGTACACTTGACACCCGGATGGGATTGGCACACATCGTGCTAAACATGGAGAGGGAAAAATAAAACAAGAGGCAGCGTCACACGAAAGTCTTGAAGCCCAGCCACGAAAAACCAAACAGGGACATGCTGGGAACTTGTCAAAAGCACGAAGGACGAGGAGGGAGAGGCGTCTGATGGAAGTTGACTTGTGCATGCCAGGAGCCTTCTCCCTTCTACGTAATCTTTTCCTTCGTTGTGCTGAACGCCATGTGCAATGGCTAATCATGACAAAAGTTGTTCTTGGGTCAAAATTAACTGTGGTTGTGTTTTAAAGACCATGAACCTCATGTCAGGACCGAAAGCACCTCTCTTTCAATGAAAATAGTGTGCGTGTACCCACACGCGCAACAAATGATATTCCATGTCCAGTATACTGCACATGGTTCTCCTGTGAAAGCCGTTGTACTTCCAGTCTTAATTGTTCTGCATGCTTTTCAATGGCCTATTGGCTAAAAAAGAACATTAAAGAACTTTGTTCCGCCCTGGAAAAAATTCGGGTCGGAAAGAGAACTATGAAGGACATGCCGTAGGCAGCACATGGCAGCACACGGGTTTTTACACTGGATGTAGGGCGTAAGAGGTCGTGTTTTTTTTTTTTAAGATGACAATGAATAAACGCATAACTCACTGAAAGGTTAACACATGTTATACAATGAACACAAAATTTCAATGCTTAAACGAAAATACGTTTAGCTCCTCAGCTTTCAATACAAACATGTGGTCCAGCACAGCCTGCAAGTCACTGGTGCGGCTAAACTGAACCTGTTTCACACAGGTGGCTTGCAACCTTCTCGAAGAACAATGCACAAAACTTTACGTTTCCAAAAAAGGACAATGCTTTTGTTGAGCTCAACAGCAAAGCATGCAAGTGTACCTTTAGTAATGGTCACCAACAATATTAACCATGAACGAGAACAACAAAACAGCGTTGAAAATGAAAGGCTTCTGCGGTACTCGAGTCCCGTTACAAAAGCAGTGAACTGATGGTGTAGCACAAAGAACACAAAACACACGCCACTACAATGACAACAAAAAAAAGAATCACTGAAAGAATTCACCTCATCGTTCCAAAGTAAGCAGTAACTATAAGCATCGCATACCGCACATGTACCACTGCATTTCCATTTTAGCACTGTTAGTATGGCAAAAAAAAAAAACGAACAAGAAAGTTCAAGGTCTTTTTTTGCAACAAATGGCATGCCCTAAAGTGCTCTAACACAACCGCATTTGGGTGATTTTGGGAAGTACAGTACAAGACACAGTTAAAGAGAACGCCTGGGTGCAAAACCATTGCGAATTTTAATTACCATTCCAAGTTTACAACTGCAAGGTTTGGACATATACAACTCGCGAATGATAGTGCAGGCACCTGTACACACACGCACAACGCCTGGAAACTTTCGGTCGACACCTGCAGCTCGCGCACCAGCAATGCCACTGCCACACATTTAGCGGGTTCCGTTTAACTGTAGAGTACACGGTACAGTTTCACGGCAACAAACTATACCTTCAAAGAATGCCATGTTCTCTTGTAGGAACCTACGCGGACCGAGTGCAGCTCCTCTTGCACATTACTCAGCTACATTTCTTGTGAACTGACGGCGAGTGTAAATTCAACACATGCTGGTCAATAATGCCAAAGGCAGCGAACGCAGAAAGTGTCGAGCGTTAATTTACAAATCGTGACAGGCAAATTCGTACGCGTGGGCAGTAACAATAACATTATGCAAGTCCACATTATGAATGGTGCTAAAAAAGTTTCCGGGGTTTTTCTGGGCCGAGTAAGCCTTTGTAATGGATTATGTGAACATGCCAGTAGTGAGCATGTTGGCCCAAGTGGGTCGATATTGTGGACAATTGCGAACCTGAAACGTCAGACGCTTCCATGCCGTTGTAAAATGTATTTCGTTACCTACAGCAACAAAAGAGCATAGGCGGGTTGTTTTTCAGTAAGACACAAACTTTTCTCTCGGATCATGCAGCAGTCCGAAAATATCAATGAAGCAAAAAGATTAGCCAATTCCGGAACATTTACAGCTACATTTGCAATATTAGCCTTTCTTTAAAAAATGCGAAGACAGCTCACTGACTTGCCGTCACTTCGTACCTCAACCATGTTTGAAGGAATTTAGTTTTATTTAAACACTTTGAAACTGCAGAGCTCTCATTCTTGCCAGCAAGCACTTTCACTTTTTCAGAATCTAATCACATGCAGCAAGTGGAACATTTGCTCAGTCATTACGAAAAGCAAGCGATCACACGTTTAAGCTAATGTGCTTACTTAAGCATGCCGCGCAGCATCGGAATTATCAACTTTAAAGTAGAAGCTTAAGCTAGTTAATACACAATTTATGTGAAAACAGCACAAAAAATAGTGACTCAGTGAAAGACTGGTTTCTTAAACCCTGTTTCCTTGCACAGTTTTCACATAAATTACCTTGAAGCATATGTAAGAACCTTAAAGGGGTACTGACAAAAAATGCCAGGCCTGCGCGGAAGGCGCAGCACAATCACAGCGAAAGCTAGAAGAACGGCCTTTCATAGCCTTTTCTAAACACTCATTGGGCAACTATTGCAAGCACACTTGCTTGATACCCACTAGGTCATTATTAATAAATTGATTTGGGTAGTAAGCAGGCATTTTATATGCTATTTCTCGTCATTCTTCTGAGAAGTGTGGTATCCGCTAGACACTTGCAAGAGATTTTGTGCCAATGGCTCGTGCAGTGGCTGACGACGATGACGAATTATGGCTAAAGTGGGTATGCGCCGCAGTTAGTAGGGGAACAAGAACAAGCTTTTGCAATAGGTTGGAGCATCGGCCGGCCCACTCGTTACGCTATTCGCATTGTGCGACGACTGGTTGTTATTTCGCTGATTTAAAACGCTTTTATAAGTCGTATTAACGTGACTGCTTTCTTGACATCAAGCCTGCCTAAGGCAAGTTTGACAACAAGTTACAAGCACCGGCGTCACTCAGTGGTAGAATACTGGGCTGGGACCCAGAAAACCCGGATTCGAGTCCCACTGTGTCATTGATGCTAGTATTTTTTTTTTCTAATTTCGCACGAGGTGGTTATGGACACCGGTGGCGAACAACTGTGCGTGACCCGAGATGCGATCTCATACGATCTTTTGCTGTAAAAAATCTCATGGCAGAGATAGCCGGCAGGATCTTGTGAACTTGCATATGTCGTCGACCAAATCTGAACAGAGAATACAGCTCGGAAGGTAATTTGTACGAAATGTGAAGCTCGTGTGCTGCCCGATCCAGTGCTAAACCCCACACCTCGCAACTTTGACAACATAAAAAAGGGACCTGAAGGGGACCTCAAACTTCCACAACAACACCGCGGGTGAACTCGAAAATGCCCAGCTAAATCACCACGTCGCAGTTGCCATCGCCCTTTTGCCGTGCCTGTGCCAGCAGGCTACTATTTGGTGGCTGTTCACGAGACCATGTCTGTGGCGAGCGTGCGGAAGCCTCAAGAACATCGTTGCCACCAGGTGACAACAATGATGACGACAGCGAGAACATTGTGCAGGACGTGCCGAACACAAAAGAACATGAGTAGGCGATGCAGGCACCACAGAAATGTGCCCCAGTTCTGTGTGTTGTTCCGCACGCAACATCGCGTTAGTTGAACACGGTGGCAACTTACCATTGTCGGATCTCTCCCAAACAAAAACTGATCAGTAACAAACAGTCTGTAATCATCTGTCGCACTCTGCAGCAAGCAGTGTACCGTGTCGTGGCTAATAGGCCTTCAGCAACATATTGCAAAAAAAAAAGTTGGTGCCACTTTTATATAACCCTTTATGTGCTCTTTTGTATTATATTAAGCATCGAATACCCTCGCAACCTTTGCAATGTCTACAACTTCAGAGATAAGAGCTTGTTTGCTGCAGTATCGCAACAGGTTACATCTAAGAAAACACAGTGAGACCAGCAATTAGAGCACACAAAAAATAAAGAACACATATGACAACTGCAGAAGGAAAAAAACTTGTATTCACTCTGCAAAGCAATCTTGACAAAACAAACTAGTTCACTTCACAAACGAAGGAAGGCTTTGGAACAGCACAATTTGTACGTAGGTAATTGCACAAACCAAACGAGACCAAGAATGCTTTTACTAGCACTGCAACAAGCAAAGCCTGCAAGACGCTTAACAAAGGTTCAACACGACAGTAACGAGCGAAGGCTGCAAATTCTTGGAAAACTTCGCCAGCATCCGTGCTCGTAGGTTAAGCAAATGCACATGTCGTTCGTCGTGTTGCTGGTTACGCGACATCAATGCATTGGTCACATAAAAGTCTTCTTAAGAAAAAGTGCCGGCACAAAACTTTTTTTTTTTTTCATTTTGCTGCTTATTTTCATCAAGCAAAGGTGTGCGACTTTGAACCCACAGGAAAAGATATAGTGCCAATCTTCACAAGACCATAAGTGGTTAAGCACAATGGTTCCTGTGGCTGTAAAAAAGCTGTGATATAATTTAAATGATTTAGTAACACCGTTATATATCATTTAAATGATTTCACATAATGGTTTTAACGGCTGTAGAAAAGCGGTCATATAATTGATGCTCTGGGGCATGGCAGTACATTTTTTGCGGTTTTCAAGCCACGGACCTTCGTTTACTACCGGAAACGAAAACGTAAGAAAGCGCGTCAGCAGCACTGTAGCAGTATTGGCCAGTTCAGTGCCGCGAAGAACCAGCGATACAAAAAAAAAAGAATCTTGGTCACTATTAAAAGGTCCGACAAACAAGCACGCAGATGGGAGAGCTGGCAGCAGCTCGGTCAGTGCAGAGGCATGCCACTGCCACGGGGACCACACAGGACACCTGTAGTTCTGTGCCGCAGAATCGCTCCGCCAAGCTTTATATCATGCCACTCCTTACAAGTTGATCGTCGCCATAACTGTGTATCCAGACGAGTGTTCACAAAACCACATGAACAGGTAATAAGATGTTTTAGCAGTGACGGTAACACTGTATTGCATACATTACCATATCACTGTTCCCCAGTCCCGAAAACGTTTTAGCACCGAGACTTGCTCAGTGAGTACGGTTGATGATGTTGACAATAGTAGCTGGTACAGGCACTTGCGGACTGATAGGTGCAAATGAAGAAATTACTTCTTTGCCAAGCGTCCCAGCTAGGAAGTTTGAAATGCAATACATTCAGAATTACGCGACCGTCGAAAATTTGCACTAACAACAAAACAAAATAGATCTGTTTACGTTATGTGCTTGCCCCGCTATTTGCCGCCAGATGGCAAACCCGTCTACGCCACTTAAGTTTGTGACCACAATAATAATGTGTAATGCCACCACTACGAAGTGTGCAGGCAAAACAATCTGTCTGACATTGTTAAAGAAAGAGTTAATAGATTAATGGGTATGGGTGTATAAGGTCACAACCACAGGATCAATGAAGTTTGGTATTATAAGTGAAGTATGAGCCACCTTTTCAATTATGCGCAGCTTACTGTATACCGATAGAGCCAGTATACATTATGGATGAGTGTGCATATGGTAAAGGTTGGGCACGCACGCTCTTCAGCAGGTACTGGATGTTATGTACGAAAAGCACAAAGAACCAGGCCCTGCTAAAACAACCTATTACTTGAAGGAGAATCAAAGTGAGCTCATCGTTGGTTCCTACATCAGCCCTCAGAATGCCAAGAAAATGCTTAGTCAACGATGGCATCAAAAAAAAAAAAAAAAGAGACACGTCAAAGAGATACAGCCAGTTCTTCCAGGCATTAAGAAAAATGCAGCTGGTTCGTACCTATGACAGACAGGCCTACTTAGCTTACCCAGCTCCACGATCGTTGCACACAGCGACAGAGCACATAACCACACAGCGACAGCACTGGTTCTTCGCACGAAGGCAGCCAAACACCAGCAAGTGAAAAAAATACACACAATGCTACGTAACTGCTACGACCACACACCACAAACACACGCACACAATGTAGTAAACGCACTCACTAGAAACATTCTCAGTGTGAAAAGACGGTTGCAGTGCACGCACACATTCCACCTCAGATGCCGCGTGCAGAGACATCACGTAGAAAAAAAAAAAAAAACGGATAATGCAAGCATTACAAACTGTGGGCCACGTGCGCAGGCAAGACAGTCGGTGATCGTCGAAACAACTTATTCAGCGTAACAACCTTCGTGGCTAACGTGCGAGATGCAGGAACGTAAGGGAATCGGGAATTGTGGAGAGCGCAGGCTATACAACATTCTACACTGCTACCTACGCCTGCCTCTGTGTTGAAAGCTACAGTAATGGGAGCGTTTGCCCCTAACCAGCGCCTCAACTGCAAATGTCAACGTCTGGTGCCGCGCAAGAGCTGTACACTAGGGGGCCGGTACCGTAAAACGGAATGCCATTCATTTGCTCCATACTGCCATGCTTTGTGTCGCACATATGGGGGCCTGTGGCATTTCCGAATGGCTAATGAAAGCCGTATAGCAGTTTTAAATTGTAGAGCACTTTTCATTGGCCATTTTGAAAGGTGTTGGGGCCTACACAAGTGCAACACAAAGCATGATGGTATTCAGTATTCCGTGGCACAATATTGGCCTACGAAACTCTGTCCTATGGAATATCCGGCTGTTCGTAACGTTCTCCTAAAAAAACGAGCATGCAGGTCAAGGTCCCAGAGAGCTGTCTCTCGTGGGCCTTGGGCACTGGTTACAATGACAGATAAGACATGTCTCTTGAATCACCCTACCTGCGAACACTACGACAAAGGCTAACATAGTCACTGAGGAACGCCGCACGTTTTACAGAAATCTCATTACAAGTCAAAACAATATGGCAGCATTCGTAAGGAATCTCTCAAATCACATTCCACTCATTACCGAAAGCGAATGGCCGCTTGAGAACAGTGGAAACGCGGCAATTCGCTTTTGCGTGGAAATCAGCGTGTTTTTCCTTCCCCCCCCCCCCCAAAACACAGGAAAAGGTGTTAAGTGCAATACATGTGGGTCGAAAGGCCGCAGGTGCCAAAAGGGAACAGAACCTTTTCTAATGTATACTGCAGTGAGCAGAGAAGTAAACACACTAAATATTACAACACCGTTTACCCAGCCATCCTTTGAACTTTAAGGGGGAAGGAATATTGTAAGCAATACACTTCGAAACAAACACTGCCTCAAGCTCACCTCATCGAATCAAGACATTTGCTTCACAAACAGAATGGAAGGGTGCTGACTAAAGTGAAAAAACATTTACCGACACTACAGCTCCCGCACAGGAACCTCACTGTCAAAACATCAGTAAATATTTTTCGCCTTGCACGGCGTTTTTTAATTCTTTTTCACCAAACCAATGTCTGCCTCAGACCTCACAAGAGTTCATCGCACCCTCGAATTAAACGAAGTGTAGTCTTACGAAAAGAAAAACGGTAAAGCGAAACAGAACACTCTGGAAAACTGGCGCAACACCACACTCCACGAGGGATTCGCATCCCCCTCTGCCAATGAAACGACACACTTCTACAACAAGAGAGACCCACAAACATTCGGGCTCGCAGCCACTCGATTAATCACGACCCTCCCAACAACCAACCAATAAGCTTCTCGCGGCGACTCAACACCCTCTCCCCTAAATCAAAGCACTCCAGTCACCACAAGTTGTTCGTCGGCCACATCAGACGGTGCCATAGCCGGCAAACTTCATTTTTCTTAAGTACGTTGGGCTGGCAGCGAGACACTAACGAGCACGTGAGCCGCAGCACACTTTGTTTAAGTCTGCAGGGGGACTCAACACCACCAGGCCGACAAGTGAGAATACGAGTGCACAAAGAGGGTTCGGGAAGCGTGTCTGTACAAAAAACGAGTGTCACAAACGACAAGGCATTTTCGTACCTTCTCGTCGTTCGGCGGCACAAATGTGGCGCAACACATGTTGGCGTCTCGACACCGTCTGGCGCATTCCTCGTTGCCGCAGCGAACGCGACACAGCCCCTCTCGTGGCGTGAAGGAGCCGAAGTGAAAAAAACCTGTTGCCAAACGGTGCCGGCGATAATCACGACCTCGACGGTAGGTGGGGAAGTGAGGGAGGACGACGGGGAAAAAAGGCCGAAGCGGTCGTCGCTCTTTTCCTTGCCGGAATCTTCACATGCGGGCGGCCTTCTGCTGAATGAGCTGAAACGGGAGGGACAAACGCGCTCTGAACAGTGCAAGGCAGCTAAGCGAATTGGCCACGCGAGTGGCTGCATTCACTATTAAAGACAGGACGACGCTTTCACGTTCACGTGACACTGTCAAATAACGCTTCTTTGGATGTAACGTCAAGGCTTTGCAAGTATAACCCATAGCAAAAAATCTTGAGGTACTCAAGCATCAAATTATTCCACACGTGAATTTGTGGCTTAAAGGTAAAGAGGCAAACTTTGCAATGACGTCGCACCAAGGCATGATGATTTCATAATTATACAAGTGGTGTCAAGCTTCAGGACAGGTCACCATTGAAAAGAGTGCTTCCCGAGGTCAGAAAACACTACCTCATACCGATAACTGCATCAGTTCTTATTTCCCATACATGCCCGAAGCATGTCCCTAGAGGCATCTTCCGGGCAGCAGTTCTCGTCTTTTGTGTGAGGTGTTTCTTGTAAGCAGGGTAACTCGTACGCCTTTGCTTATCAACCCGTATTTTACTGTAGCCCCACAGGTGTCTCTTATGGCCATTTGTGTCTTATACCAGTGTCTCTCACAAAGAGGTTCGACTGCAGCATTATCAAAGATAGGTGCTTTTGTGCACACACATACAGACAGCATGATATAGCAAACGGTGCAAAAGTGACAACACACATTCCAAATTATTTGTTGCACGTTCTGGCATATTGTGGTAATCAAGAAAAATTGCAGCAAGGTACAACTGTCACATCAGACCTAGTTTTCATTTTAACAGCCCGGTGTCCCTCATTCCAATCAAATGTGTGGACCATCCACAACTAGAATACTAAAAGTATCTGCGATGCCACGGGATGCTTTTTTGGCAATTTCGAGAGTAAACAATTAACTAGCTTTCGCTCTGTGCGCCACCTAAGAAAGGCCCCTCATCCTAATGACACAAAAACAAACTACATTGTTGGTGCATTAAGCCTCTTTCACTTAACGCTCCATACCAAATAAGCATGCCGTTCTTGCAAAGTCCTTCCAGAACAACATTTGTGAACAAAACTGTTTAACCCAAACAGCGACGCTCTTGCAGCTTTCATTCTTGCACAGTTTAGGTTACAAGCATTCAATGTAAACGAACGAGAGAAAGGTTCCTTTAAAACTTTATTGATAAAAGAAACGAGTGCAGATCAAACAAACGTGCTCCCTTTCACCGAAATAGATACGCTGCATTTGGCTTATAGCAATTAATTCATCTTCATCTTTCCGGACCATCCGGGGGAGTGAGAAACGACAGCCCACTGTAAAGTGGAGATGCGAAACATCAGCTTCTACGGCCAGGTATACTGTGTAGAATTTGGGGCGCAGTGTATGTTCTGACATAAAACAAGCCCCTGTAACCAAACCAAACTCTAAAAGGTGTGTCAGACTTTATCAGCACAACTGTCGGCCTTAAAGCTGACCCTGGATCAAACGGTAAAATATTATTCCAAACTCTACTTTAAGTAGATGTAACGAGCTAACGCTACACCCCATTAGGTCTTAGAAAAATCGCTGTGGCTTTTGCAACACCCTACTGGCAAAAGTGAAGCCCGCGCTGCTCAACCTTCATCTCCTTGAATTGAGGGAACATATTCTGTCCAGGTGGTGCCCGCTTAGAGATAAAATTGTTTTGCTCTGTTCACGTTGACGCTAGGTTAATTATCAAATAAGAGATCAATGTTTGCAATCATAGCTGTTACAAATGAAAATCATTACTGATGATTTGATCGCCAGTAAAATTTGCCGAGACTTGGCATTTTTTATAGAAACAAGTACCTCAAAAGCACATTGAGCAGTATGCGACTGGAAAAAAAATTGTGATATTGAAGTTGCAGGGTGCGAGAGAAAAATGCTCTATTTACATTGCTGAACGTTGATATTCTATCCTGCTCCTACTATACTAAGACAGCGACGGCAGCCACCATCTTAGGGTGGTTACGGCTGCACTCGTGAAACATATTGTCACGGGCTCAGAAGATCACTCTGAGCGGAACACGCTCGAACTGCAGCAGCGTTGTACGCATTTGGTCACAAAAATATATCTCGTGCATATACTTTCTTCCCCGTAACATCTTCGGTGGAAGGTGCGGAGTGCGACTCGCTATACAGCCCCAGGAGCTGGATTTTCGCAGCGGATGACACATTGCTGCTACCACGATCACTGACCAAGCTACTCGGGGTAAACAAGATCCGTCAGCCCCGCAGCCATTGTGGTGCAGCCCAGTGACCCTGGCCCAATCAACGGCAAGAGCGGCGTAGACATCGACGACTTGCTGGTTCCGTACGAGCGCATCAACCACTGGGACCCGACGCTGATGTTGGCGAACATCGTGTTCTACTTGCGCGGCACGACAAAACTCTGGTACGAGACGCATCAGGAAGAGTGGACCAGTTGGGATGTCTGCAAGCAGAAATTACGCTACTTATTTGGGAAGCCCATCGGACGACAAGTGGCCACAGAGAAAAAGCTCGCGACTCGTGTCCAGACATTCACAGAGCCTTACATCACATACATCTGGGACATGTTGGCTTTGTGCCACAAGGAAGACAAGGGCATGCCTGAGGAGGTCAAAGTCGGACACATACTAAATGGAATTGCCAATGACGCCTTCAGTTTCCTGCCATGTAAGGACTGCCCGACGGTCGAGTCGTTCATGGCGGAATGTCATCCCTTCAAACAGGCAAAAAGTAGGCGCGTCGTTAACGAATTCACCCGCCTTCCCAACACAACGGCTACATCTTCCTGCGAAAGTTTGCAAGATTTGTCGACGCTACATCCACCATCAGAGCCAGAAAACGTCACTAGAATATTCTGTCCGGAACTGGAGACTATGGCACCCGCTATGTCTAAAGACAGTGCTCCAAGACGCAGCCTCACTTCTGTTTCAATAATACAGGCCGTGGTTCGCCAAGAAATCGCGAATAAAGGCATTTCACCACCTTGTCAAAATGTCCTTGCTACTCCCAACTCGGCTCCTGGAGTCGTTGCAGGTGCTGCTGTGATGAAATATATCTGTGATGAAATATATCCTACACATATACTTTTTTCCCCGCAACCATATTTTCCACTTTAGCTACTCTCTTCTAACCTTTTTAGTTACACTCACGGAGGAAAAAACATTTGGTAAATGAAACTTTGTTAGAACAGGCATCAATGAACGTCCAGATAACACCACAAAAGTAAAAAAATAATGTGTGCCAACAGTGGCATTTCGATTGGTTGCCGCTCGTAATGCAAAGCAGCTGCCGATTGTGTCGACTGAATTTCCACGGCACCGATTCAAGGAACTGGATTTGCTTGGATTGCTTCAATGTCCAACATCTACCGTAATTACTCGAATCTAACGCGCACCTTTTTTCCGGTTAAGCGAGTTCATAAATCGCATGCGCGTTAAAATCGAGTACAAAAAAAAAAAAGAATACGGCCATTCTATTGCCATCGGCATTTCCAAAATGGCCTCCCCCTACGTGCGTCAGCATGGCGCGTCGGCCATTTCTGCCTATGTGTTTCCCATGTGCGGCACTTCGTACGTGTGCTGAGGAGTTCGTCATCTTGTAGTGCATTAGCATCGACGGCACGGAAGGGCCGACTCCAAGAACTCGACGAGTGCACCACGATGCCGCTTTTAAAAGAAAAGTCATCGCGTGTGCAGAAACGGACGGAAATCGGGCTGCATCGCAGTCGTTCGGAGTTCCCGAAACGTGCGTGCGAGACTGGCAGAAACAAAAGCAGAAGATTGTCGGCAGCAAAGCTTCACGCAAAGGCTTCAGTGGACCACAGCAGGGTCTGTTTCCGCAAAATTGAAGAGCTGCTCGCCGAGTATGTGCTTGAGCGGCTAGCGGCACAGCGGCTCGCGACGATAGAACTCTCCAAGTGCGGGCTATGCAGTTAGCCTTAGAAAAAGGGCTAATGCGGAGCCAGTTTAAAGTGAGCAGGTGCTGGCTAACTAACTTTATGAAGAGGAAAGGCTTTTCCCTCCGAAGGTGAACAGACATATGCGAAAAGCTTTGCGGAGGGGTACGATGAAAAGCTTCACAGTTTTCACAGGTTCGTCCTAAACTTGCGACACAACAACGGCTACCTGCTTGGGCAAATCGGGAATGCCGATCAGACGCCTCTTTACTTCGACATGCCTGGCACCACAACCGTCGAGAAGAAGGGGGCGAAGCAAGTTCATGTGCTGACATCGGTCCACGGTAAAACTACAGTGACGGCAATGCTCTGTTACACGTCAGATGGGCACAAGCTTCCCCCGTACCTCGTACTTAAATGGAAGACGCTCCCGAAAGGAGTCGTTTTTTCGAGTGGTGTGATCGTGCGGGTCGGCGAGAAAAATTGGTGCGCGTTGCAATCGATGTCTTACTTTTTTTTTTTTCGTCGTGGAAATGGGGTGCGCGTTAATATCGAGGGCGCGGTAGAATCGAGTAAATAAGGTAATGCTCGAATTGTTCCCTGAATTTGTGGAAGCAGTTGCTTAACAATTGTGCATAGAGTGTTTTTGACCATCTTTTTTCTCTTGCTGTTGCTTTGGTCAGCTGGTTGAAGTTACTACACTCGGCTACAACTTTTCTTGACAGCAGTGTAGAACCTAGGGAACCAAAGCACGAGCCTGCCACCACACCAAGAAACTAGTACTCAAGTTTACTGACAATCTGTTCATTTGCCTTGCTGAAATAAATACTGTGTAATTTATAATGAGACTGAAACCACTGTGGCAAATTGTACGTAAAATAGTTATTGTTCACCTTGCAAGAATGCTTTTCTTTTCTAGCCGTTTCTTACACAGCACCAACTTTTCAGGGCACCCGTTTTCCAAGGAAACGTGGCGTTCGCGAAGTTGGTGAGCGACCACAAACGCGCTGTCGCCAACAAAATTTATACCCGTAACGGGACACTAAAATGTACACTCGACAATTGAAATGTTTTTCCCATTCGTAACTTTCGTGTATAAGTGTGTTTTTCTGAACACATTAACGATGCGAGCGAGCCATACCGCAAGTGACCGCAAACTGCCGAACTAGGTACTTGTGGAGCAACTCGTATGTGCGGTAGCCTAGCCTTCGCTCCAATGCCAAGATAGGTTGTCGCCGAGTATAGCTACATAAAACTGACGTAACCATTTTTTCTGTATAGATATTTTCATGTTGAGCATTATTCTGTGCTTAGCGTCGCTTCCCTTGTGTATATCATTCGTGCATACACTCCCACCCCAGTAATGTTCAGTTCGAGTAATTGAGTGTTCGAAAATAAAAATAAATACAAAATGTACGCACTTTCGCGCTAGTGCTCCGAAGTCTGAAAGGACGACAGAACTGGGCGGCCTACCTTGTTTGTCTTTATTGATTTTCTTTCTTCCTCTATCTCTTTCTCTTCACTTCTGGTTTTTCTAAAAGAACTTGTTGTTGGGCTAGTTGGTAGAGCATTTCGAAAAGTTAATTCGAGCGCGAAAGCTTGACACGATCACACACGCACACACCCGCTGTGTGTGTTTGATGCATGGGTCTGTGCGTGTGTGAGTGATCGTGTCAAGCTTTCGCGCTCGAATTAACTTTTCGAAATCTGGTTTTTCTTTCTATGCCTTTCATTGCTTCTTCCTTTATTTCTCTCCCTTTTTCTTTTTTTCACATCTCTATTTCTATTTCTTTCCTCAATCTTCTAAAAAATTTTTGCTCTATCTTTTTATTTGGCTCTTTCATTTCCCACACAGAAGATGAAGATGAGGAAGAGACCGTGAGCCGACCCAAGTTTCTGCCGAAGCCATGCATACCTCACGATAAGCAGCACTAACGACGACGACCTTCTGTCAACACTTTACGGATTCACCTCCAGCCCAAGGCGGGCACTTTAACATCAGAGCTGTTAGGGAGTGTTACAAGCCCAACCACTTATTCAGAAACCAAGAAGCACTTCCGCAGAGCGCAAAAGAATCGCCACTAGAAAATTACCTGCGCCCGGTCAGTCGGCTCAAATTCGCGGTCCGTCGTGTGCGACGAGGAGCTGGGGTACTCCCTCGACACGACGCAGAGGAATTCGGCATGGTCGTCGTTGCCGTAGTTGTAGGACGAACCGATGTTGATCAACTGCAAAGGATAAGATGGCAAGCCCATCAGGCAAATGCCGGTGCGCGCATTAAAGCCTGCAATATAGTTGAAGCTCGCTGTAATGAAGTCTCACCTTACAAACAAACAAACAAACACACACACACATACACACCATGCTTGAACAGTTGCTGTAAGCATACACCCGTGCCACGGTATTTTCACGTACCTTTCTCTTTGCGAGTTTTGAATTTTTCAATTGCTTTGCTATAGGCCATTTTCTGTAAGACATATGAGGAGCACCACCTTGGGCCGTTAGGCCGACGTTTTCTTGCTTTTGTTTATCGTGACGTGAACTTTAATAAGGCCATGAAACACCCCATGCACCGACCCAACCGTTTTCACACGTAGGCATCTACCGTAACACTTTTTCCGGTGCATGATCAACATTACTTTTTGATTACCCAAACATATGTTTGACTTCAACACTCAGCTTCTCAAAGCCATCAAGAAGCATGCTACTGGTGAATGTCACTATCCCTAAAAAACTATATTTACTGGACAAATGCAAATAAGGCCAAAGCGGGCGACAACTACTGGAAAATTCTGCAAGCAACTCGGCAAAAAAAAAAAAAAAAAAAAAGACCCATTTTGCTTATTACAAGCGAAATTGGCAACTCTGGAAAGTACACAATGTGCCATTATAACCTATTGAGAAGCGAGTTTCCTACACCACAATGTGTGCATTTTGTTGATGCGGAGGCAGATGACAGAGTTATGTCTGAACCATTGGTTATGTATAAGAAGCTTTTAAACCACCCTCTCATTAGGCAACTCACATTGTGTAACACATGGTTGTTGTTTCACAGTTATATCACACTACACTCGCACCTCATTACAGCAATTTGAATCTTTCAAGAAATGGGTTCATTATATCCGAAAATTCGTTATAAAAAATATTGCTAACACTGTATCTACAGCAAGAGTATTTTTCAATTATTTCGTTAAAACCAATATTTCTTTACTTGTGTGTTTGTTACATTGAGGTTTGAGTGCATAGTACCTCTGTTAATCCGATTCTTTCCCTACCATGATGCCTCTATAGAGTCTTTTTGAGAAGAAGTTTCAAGAACTGATGTGGCTCTGTGGTAAAATACTCAACTGCCTCCCTCGCAGTGTCCCCGAGTTCAAATCCCACAAAATCCTAGTTATCTCATTTCTTCTCACGCACAACAGCAGTTACGATGGTGGTATAGGACAACCGCACCATCCAAAATCGGCTGTTCGAATCTCGCAACAGCTTTAAAAACCTACTGCATCGTCATTGTTCACATGTTATAAGAACACCGAAAGAGTAGAGCCACCGAACATCGGCAACAAACACAGCAACACCAAAAATGCGCAGCCAATAAGCACTGCTGACTGCGGCTGTGTTCTCACCTGCTCGAAGCGCCAGCCAGTCGGACATGGTGGACACCATCTGCGTGAGTTCGTCCTCGTGGCACTGGAGGACGCGGTAGACGTGCTTTGCGCGCGTCGCGTGACTTGTGGTGCTGCTGGCGCTCCTGGATCAGTCGTTTGACCATCTTGACCAGCTCGGCTATGTTGTAGAACTCGGCCTCTTCCAGCACCCCTGTTTCATCACCCAAGCAGCAGGTGCACATTATGTATATGTTAACACACATACTCTTTTATGTTTTTTTTTTTCATTGACCAACCTTCCACAGTGCAATGAATGCCCACTTGATTGAAAGCAGCAAGGAAATAATGGGGTACATTCAAGAACTTTTATAAGCAATGACAATATTGATTTTGTTATGTCTTGTACCATTTTCCAATTTTTGTTTATTACCGTCACATCTCCCCACCCCCTCACACAATGTTCCAGACATTGAAGCCCGTGATGCATTTGTATAAATATTAATACATACAGCACAAATGACAATGTGCAAGCAATAGGCAACATGCTTTAGCGGTGGATCGAATGTTCGAGGATCATTTACTGCAGCTGTTGAATTGCATAAGTTTTTTGAAGGCGAAAACCTTAGATGCCTTATCAAACTTTCAAATTGACTATCGGCATCAACATGAGTGATTAAAAAAATTATCAGATGGCGACCTCACCACAAGATGTTATCATTACGTTGTGTAATGTGATGTGACATGATGACATCATCCAGTGAAATTGTGGTTTGGTCAAAAGTAAGCTGATCACGAAGTCAGTGAAGAACCACCTTAACCACCTACAAGTTATTTTTGGGATTATTCCGTGATTTGTCGAGAGAAGAGAAAGCAATTTTAAGGAGACTTTGATAATTTATTGTGAACTGCAAGCCGCGTGCCGTGCTATAATATTTGGCTCGCGTGTTGTCGGGAGCCTGTACTAGCGTTGGGCAGAGTTTTCTGACCATGCTCAAAAAAGTGTTGCAGGGCCCCTTTGAGGTTTTCAAATAAAGAAAAGCAGACACTTGAATTACCCTTCTTTCGTTCAGTCCAAGAAAGACACACACAACACGAAAGCAGTGACAAGGAAGAAAGCATTGTCACTATCTCCCTTGTCATGCCTAATATACAAGACATGCCCTAACTGCTGCTTTTCAATTTGACCAGGTACTTGATGTGATGCAGCAAAGCACGCACGCCTGTTTTGCAAGCTTACCTTCTTCTGCAAGGTCCTTGTTAATGACCAACTTGCCATGCCGCAGGTAGTTAAGAATAGGGCCGAAGTAGGTCGGGTCGCGGTCTATTAAGTAGGCTCCCGTCTCGTCCTGCACGAACAGAGCGAAAAGGTTAACTGAAAGGTAACAAAGGACCAAGGCCCAAGTAATTAAAAAAAAAGGTAAAAAGGAACAAGCACAGCTGCATGCTTTACACATGCTTAAAGGGGTCCCGAAAATTTCAAGTAATTCTCAAGCGACCTTTCGTACAAAGTTGACCTTCACCGAACATGCAGATTGATTCAGGACCCCTTTAAATATACATTCCCACTGCAAACAAGAACAGTCTCAAACAACTATCAAATTAAAAGCACTAGTACAAGTGTCTACACTCTAAGAGAAACAAGCACGCGTAGGTTACATTTCTGCCACACTACAGTAACCATCATCTTGTTCGTTATCGCTTCCACTTTCTTCACACACTAAACACCACATGCAACAGATGCGTCAATTTAGGGAGGAGCTTTGCACGGACCCTCACTCTCTTGTATGCGTAATGTGAAAGACAATTAACTTAGGAGCTGGATATCTCGGAGAACAGGCACACTAAAAAATATCTTCCAACTGAAACTGTGTACAAACACCTCTACCTACATTTTTTCAATATAAACATGCCAACTTATGGCAGCCTGTAAAAAGTTAATTGGGCTGCTGACAGCAATAATTATCATCTAACTTTCTGTCCCCCTGGCCACTTAATTTATTTGCACAAGTGGTTCTGACGTGCCTTCAAATGCCTAATGTTTAAATAAGATCATAAAGCTTAACTTAAAACACCCGGTATGTTTCAAGCATCAAGAAAGTCATACCTTATTGATAAATGCAGCCTATGATACGAGCAATAAATAACACACTTATATGCCAACGGGCAGTAACAGGCAGCAAATCGTAGTCTTCTTGAGAAACGAAATGACATCTGGAAACATGACATCACAGATGTTCCAGTTGTCACTACCCTAATAAACAGTTCGCTAGGTAGGAGCGATGACAGATGCCCAACGCCACCCACCAAGAAGGAGTACCATAAGTTGGTGGCGTACTTCGTCAAGCACACTGGTGCAGACAAAAAGGACGCAGCACGTGATATGATAAGATAAGAAATAAAAAAAAAAGAGACAACAAAGAGCCGCCGCTCAGACACGCGCGAGCCACGGGAAGCGGATGCTGATTAAAAAGACCTCGCATCTCCACGCCCATTTATGCGGCAACCAACCTCCTCCCAGCCCCCCCCCCCCTTTCTCTCCTATGGCCACATAGAGAGGGGATGCCGACGCAGCCCATACAGCACAGATGCGTCGACGAGTCGTCGGTATACGCCACGGTGTACGGATTGCGGCCAAAAGTGCATTTAGTTCTTCGAATGAGACACACACACACAAAAAAAACATACCTAAAGTGAATTAGTAGATCAGCCTTTCACACTGCCGCAAGACGACGTTCAGTAGAAGAGAACACGCACAAGAAATAGACCACGGTCGGCGTTTTCCCCCGACCTCCCATTTATAGAGGAGGTCGTGGTTTTTCCGCAGCTAGTTTGTCTATGCAAAACTAGACGGCGCCACCACACCGAAGCGCCACGGCCTTTTTTTTTTTTTTTTTGCGGCGCTGCCGCGATGTGGCGTGTGGCGGACGTTGCCCTGCAGCCTAGAGCGAGAAACGGTGGTGGTAGCGATTCTTGAAGAAAGAAAAATGCACGAAATGAGAAACGGGCGGGTTTGACAATGCATTTGAAAGAAGTTTATGTAGCGCGAGGCAAAAAAAAAAAAAAAAAAACGGACATAGGAAGGAATAGACTGAGAGGACAGAGCGCTACTAGCAACATGTTTATTTTCGACCTCCAAGCCGCTTTTAAGCCATAATCATGAGGCGCGCAAGCAGATAAGCACGTGTATTCAGATAAATGCACGACAATGCCATCTACCTACAAGAAAAAACGATAAATAGGACAACAACAAAAAAACATCACAGATAAAATCACGTATCACTGCGTACGCAGGAACACCAGTTCCTTGGGTGACAAAGCAATTGAAGGCTTGCTGATACATACATCTCCAAGAGCATCAATAAGTTCGGCTTCTATGGTCAGCCGAGTCATCTCATCCTTATGCCGACCAACAATGATTGTACTCTGGAACAAAGGCCGGCACCCACACGCGTGAATGTGAAGAGCGAGAAAACCTTCTGGCGGCAGTTTATCCGCCTTGTAATTGTGTTCTCTCAATCGCTCATTCACACACCCACTGGTTTTGCCGACATATTTTTCCCCACATGTGAACAGAATAAGATAAATGACGAACGAAATGCACTCCACAAATTTGCGTGTATGACTTTTTGTGCACAACACCCTTTCCCCGCGTGACGAATTCGTGAGCACACACAGGGCTAAGAGCCTTCTCAATTGACGTGACAGACCTGTACTATTCCCTCCCCCATCCACAAATGCTAAAATGTGTTGGAAGTAGCATTGATGAATTTGGTGCTGTTAAGTTTTCTTCTGAGTCAGGTATATCTGCTGATAATTTTCTTACCTTGTTGGAATTTTATCTTGCATCGACGTTCATTAAATGGAACAGTGATATTCTTTTCCAAAAGCAGGGAATATGTATCGGCTCTTGCATCGCGCCTGTCTTGAGCAATCTGTCTCTGGCAGAACTTGATAGAATTGTGGCATATCGTCTCGCAGAGACGACGGCTAAGAAAGTGTTCCGGTATGTAGATGATTTAATTATTTTCATTGACAGCTCGGGAGAAAATTTCCAAAGTGAGAGTACTAGGGTGTTGAATGTGTTTCGTGATGGTCTTAAGCCCCTTGAAGTGACAGTAGAATGGCCTAGCGACGGACGAATAAGGTTTTTAGATTTAGGTGTTCAGTGGTCTGACAACCAGCTATGCTGGTGCTATGATCCGCGTGCTCAGAAAGCTTTACTCCCATTTCATTCCGGTCATTCCAAACTAACCAAGAGAGCCATCACGACGACTTGCCTCAAAAACGCATTGAACAAGTCATGTGCGCACCTTATGAAGCAGAGCTTCCATAATCAGATCACACGTTTGCAAGGATCGGGCTATCCGGATCATGTTTTAGTTTCAGTTGCGGAAAAAGAGTTGAAAAGGATTCGTGGAAGTTCAAGCCAATCTAATGTTCGTGTCGATTCACCGGCACAATCAAGACGCACGGCCACAATTCCATATGTTCACCAGCTGTCACATAACCTAAAGAAAGTGGCACTTCGGGACAATATTAGGGTGCTATTTTCAGTACGTGATAAACTTGGGAAATTTTGTGTGCTGACGAATTCGTCATGCGGGGAAAGGGTGTTGTGCACAAAAAGTCATACACGCAAATTTGTGGAGTGCATTTCGTTCGTCATTTATCTTATTCTGTTCACATGTGGGAAAAAAATATGTCGGCCAAACCAGTGGGTGTGTGAATGAGCGATTGAGAGAACACAATTACAAGGCGGATAAACTGCCGCCCGAAGGTTTTCTCGCTCTTCACATTCACGCGTGTGGGTGCCTGCCTTTGTTGCAGAGTACAATCATTGTTGGTCGGCATAAGGATGAGATGGCTCGGCTGACCATAGAAGCCGAACTTATTGATGCTCTTGGAGATGTATGTATCAGCAAGCCTTCAATTGCCTCGTCACCCAAGGAACTGGTGTTCCTGCGTACGCAGTGATACGTGATTTTATCTGTGTTTTTGTTGTTGTCCTATTTATCGTTTTTTTCTCGTAGGTAGATGGCATTGTCGTGCATTTATCTGAATACACGTGCTTATCAGCTTGCGCGCCTCACGATTATGGCTTAAAAGCGGCTTGGAGGTCGAAAATAAACATGTTGCTAGTAGCGCTCTGTCCTGTCAGTCTATTCCTTCCTATGTCCGTTTTTTTCGCCTCACGCTACATAAATTTCTTTCAAATGTATCACCAACAAGCCCACATCGCCACTCTTGTTGACTATGCACTGCGCCCGCTTTGCTGGCATTCAATGCTGGAGCAGCGGTGGCGAATCAGCCAGCCATTGACGACGGTGAAGAAGTGGAAAGGAGAAGGCCATTAGATCACGTGTTCAAACGTGGCAGCGCCCGTTCACCGCTGCTATAGTGAACTAGAAGTACTTCTATAGTGAACTAGAAGTACTTCTAGTTCACTATACCGCTGCGGAAAACGGTCTATAGGCATCGGCCTTGAGGTTCGCGCCCAAAGTATTACCGACGTCACCCATCTCGACGGGCGTTTACTGGGGCCCATCCAATACTCTGCCTCACGGACCTATGGGAAAAAAGGAATTCCAGGGGCTTGTTCCTGTGTGACACAGCCTCAATAAAAATTAGCAGATAATGAAGCCAAGGAAAGTGCAGGGAACCCCTGATGATAATTTTTTTAATTCAAACGTACAAGCGTGATAAAGGTACGAAGGAAGTAGGGTACGAAGGAAGTACGACAACTTGCTTCCGGCAGGGCGCGCACCTACAACTTCCGGATTAGCGGCGCTAGCACGGACGGCTTTCGACTGAAGAAATCGTCACCACTGCCATCAGCATCTATATAAACGTCGACTTGAATGACAAGTGTTGCGATACGCAGAGCGTTCGCCGCTTTGTCGATAACAGCGTCGTCTCTTTTTCGGCCGAGACGATGGATGGATGGATGGATGGATATGGCTGTACCGTTTAGATCGGGCGGTGGCTAGCGCCACCAAGCCGTAATATATAATGAACCAAAAACTATATTTATTTTTTTTTCCTTAAAAAAGAGTGAGGATTCGTACTTTGCAGTGAAGAGTTTAATTTTCACTCGCGCCTTTACTTTAGCCACCAATCAGACAACCTCCTTCTAGTGAAGTCTACCCGCTTAAAGTTTATTTAGACATCACCGCTTTCAAACGCCATCTTTCGGCCCGCGGCGCAGCGGGCGCCATTTCGAAGAAAAAAAAAAAAAACCGCCGACGAAGTTGTCGTCCTATCTTGTCTAATCGGAGGGCAAATGCGCGACGCCAGTGGTTTTTGTACGAGTCTCGCACGTAAGCGAGAACCAGATGCAATAGACACG